ACACCAAGCAGAAAGCCAAATCATACTCAAAACCTTCCATGCACGCCTTCCGAATAGGTCGTCCAAATCGGGGAAGCCCAACTCAGTGGATTTGGTTTGGATTTGAACCCCAAGTTCTCCTTTCAAATGGTTTTGGACCCCAACATCAGTGGTTTTGCTTTGGGCTTCCCCTTAAACTAAAGGTAAAATGGTGAAAAGGGTACCAAATAGTGCCAAAGACACACTCACACGACTCACACGTGTCAAGTGCCTTTCTGGCATAGCTTGGCCTTTTGGGCCCAGGCTGGAAAGGCACCACGTGCACGATGTTTGGCCTGGGCAAGTCGCGCCTCCTTCTTTGTTCGGAGGGGATGAAGCACGGCGGCCCGAGCGAACTAATTTGGGCAACTTCAAGCTTGGCCTAACAGGGATCCTTACATTATACATCTGAACATTGCCTTGCAAATGGAGGTTTCCCTTTATTTTGGTGCAAAAAGCCATGTTTCAAATGGGCAAAATGTATCTTTTAAGGAGCCCTGGGTCTAACAAAGAGGAATTTCTCGAAACTGTTTGCTTTCCTCTGAACTCCCCTCACTGTGAAAGGTGTCGCCAATCTTAAGCCCCACCATGCTGTATGACTGTGCCGTGAGGCTCAGACAGCTTCTTCAGTAGTGGCTTGCCGTTCTGCAAACGAAGCTCCTCCGACTGATAGCGTCAACAGGCGTTTGCTTCTGCTGGTTATCAGGTATGAACGACTTGTACAGGTCTTACTATATTTCCATGGGAACCAGGCGGTAGAGCCACTGGGGGGTTTGGGACCCCGCTCATGTCAATGGCACATCACCACTCTCTATCGTTCTCCATGTAGGACGCTATGCGCAAGCTCTCCAGTCGATTCCCATTCAGACTTGTCACTTGTGGCACATGATGGCGTGTCACCCCGACCCCCACCACCGGCTCTGTCCGAAGGCTTCAATCGCGGCGCATCTTCGATGACTTTGCGCATCCACGACTCATACTCCTAAATGAATGGCTCGCAGCCATTCATGCAACAAATGGCCAGCAGTAGCAACGTGACGGAGACTTTGCAGGAGATCATGGGGCTATTCATGCCACGAGTGGCCAATTGTGTTGCACGAATCTTTAGAGTGACTGCAACTTTGATGTCATTCTCACAAGGCGTCCTGCTCCATGAGGTAGGAGATGTTGCCTTCACACACTCTCATATCATGGCAAGTCTCTCGCAAGCTGAGAGCAACGCCGAAATGATTGCAGGAGTCAGTTGCCTCAGGACGTGAAGCATGAAGCGTTTCTGAAAACTGGCGCTCAAAACTGGTGGACTCCTTTTTGGTTGGCAACAGGAAATTCATTAAATCACCAGGAATTGGTCACCCCCCATCTCTCGAACACATCATTTTTTGGTTCCAACAGAAGCCACAGGACACCCGGCATTTGGACGGCCAATGGCGCTCGTCCTGTGCTTTTTTTCACGCTGAAACAAGCAGCCAGCTGCTCAGATTCCGCCCACACCTGGCAGAGACCATAGTCAGGGCATCATGGCAAGCAGAAGAGCACGGTACACACTGCGAATGCAAACCGGGACATCATCTTTGCGAGGGCTCTCACTTTTTGATGCTCCATAGGACTCTTGTCGACTGCGATGAAACTGACACGATGCATCACACAACCATCAATCACCTTGTGCACTTTCAAAAGACACTTGATGGCGTCTCGCGAAACTTGGCATATAAGTCAGAATGACGCTCGACTCAACGCCCCAAACGTCCACTGCGACCACTTGCAACACAGCTGCCACCATCGGAGGAAGGTTCACTAATCATCAAAGTGTGCATAATCATCCTCTTTTCCATCCCATTCCAGCTCAGCTTCTGTGCTCTTGCTGTTCCACGCAGTGGGGTCCAAAAACGTTGGATCTCCGCCATGGAAGAGTACGTCCTCTTCATCATCTTCCTCATACTCGTCTTCTTTGGCAAAAAATGTGTCCAGCTTCCGCCGGGCAGCGTCAGGATCAGATCCACTGATCGGTGAAGTGGCCTTAGTGGGACGTTCCCAGTTGCCTTCCAGAAAGCTCGGGTCTCCTCCGGAAATAAGGACTTCATCTTCCAAATCAATGTCGACCTGCTCACCGGCTGAGATGGCAAATAGAACAGCAGGGTCTACATTAGGAGCTCGCTCCGACACGTCTGCATATTTGACAGATTTGACGCTCGCGTCACTGCGACTCGCCTCCGCATTCGAGGCTTTTTTGTGGGACCGCAGCTCGAAGCGATCCTTGGCGATTGCTCTGACTTCGTTCGTGGGAAAACACCCCGCCCGAAACGCTCAAGGTTCAAGCTCCCAGGTTCAATCGCAGCCAAGTTCGAGCCCGTTCTCTGAAAGAATCCTTCTTTTCAACAACCGATCGCTGTTTTTTTTTTTTGTTTTTTTTTTTTCTTTTTTTTTCTTCTTTTTTTTTTCTGGGGTACTTGGATGATTGCCTGAAAAGAGTCGGATCCAACTGGAAAGAAAAGCTTCCCTAGACTTGGTTGCTGTCGACCCCTCTACCAAAAGTCAAACTTTTTGTGGGGTTTAGTGGAACACCCCTTGAATTCAACCAAAAAGTCTGAAGATCCAAAGATCCAACCCAATAACTGTCAAGTAGACAAGCCTCCGTGACAGCTCTCCGGTCTTTGCAGTCGTTGAGCCAGGCCTTGCAATCAGCGGCCGATGCCCATTCCAGCACTGCCAGAAAGGTGGTGCCGTCCCGCAGCAAAGATCCGGAAACAGCACCTGCCGTTTCGTCGTCCACAAACGGGCGTGTGATACTGTGGATGGACAAAATCCTTCACCACCCAAGAAACCCTGGAATCATGATTCCCCTGCAAATACATACCAACAAGCAATGGTTTCCCATGGTCTCAAAGTGGTGCATAATTTTGTCCATCCATAGTATTGTTGGCCGTTGGCGTGGTTCGTTCGTTCTTGAGTTGGTGGCCTTTTTTGGTTTGGTCTGAAAGCAAAAATAAATCCCCCCACACCATTCTAGGGGACTCCTATTTTGAAACATACCCAATGTGAACTTGAATAGGGCACCCTTGTGTGCACATCATTCAGGTGGGGATTCATGACCGATTCATGACCAACCAGTTTGTATGTGGTTTCCATTGAAATTCATGGCCAAATCAAAAAACATCCTTGGAAGAATCTATCGCCCTCACCAAAAGAAATGCGTTCACCTTTTCTAAACAACCTTGGACAACATGTATAGGTGTCCCTGAAATATGGTGAGATTGTTATTGGAGACAATGGCTCCCCCGCCCAAAGCAGGTGGGTTTCCTCCATTTGCTAAAGTCCCCTGGAAAAATAAACCAATATTTCCAGTGATAGGTTCCTTTAAAAACCAGATAAACATAAAACCTAGTCTTAAGGAAATGGAAGGTGTGCAATCTTTTGCTCAATTGCCAACCACTCCCCTCCCCCTCCCCTCCCCCTCCCCTCCCCCTCCGCTCCCCTCCTCCTCCCCCTCTCCTCCCCCTCCCCGCCGGCACCTTCCGGAAGATCCCAGGTGCTTTCAAATCCATCAGCCCAGGGATCCGCGATGGTCATCCGGGTGTGCGTCACCATCGCCGCGGAAGCGGACTTCCGCTGGAGGCCGTGGGAGCTCCTAGGAGTTCGTTTCTGTTTCTACCGTTGAACCACCGTCATTCAGACCTTGATTCCTACCATTCAATTGGCAAACCAATTTTTGATGGCAGCAAACGTTGACACGTACCCAATTCCCTTCGAAAGTTGCAAACTCGTGAACATCCACTGAAACGATCGCCACTCTTGGAGGACAAAAAGGGCGAAACGGAGCGACCCTTGTCCTTTGGCTTCTGATTCTTGACCCTCCACGCACAAAATTCGCAAATGTGTCGGCCTGCAGCGAAGCTACAAGAGCCAGAGCCCAAGCAGCCAATGGCCATCGATATCTCATGCTGCTCTCTTAGCAGGCATACGCTACATGGCGTTCTTGCTTTGGAGCCATTGCCAAGAGCAAACTGATGTGAACATGAGCGGGGAAATGAGGACCCTGGCATGATCCTGCAAAAGAAGAGGCAACGGAGGTGGGGCTATACATACAGGCTGGTGATGGGACACCCGACAGGGCCAGTGTTGCAGCGCTGCGCAGTGGGTAGCCAACCAGTTTGTTTTCCCCAGATAGCTGCAAGCTATAGGGGTTCTAACTTCTAATACAGAGGGGAACAACATTTGCGAGATAGACGGTGCTGTTTGAGGTGCTGGTGACGTGTGCGAGCGCATTTTGCAAGGTTGATGGCCGGGTGGCAGGGGGCATGCGGTTTGAGTTGCTGGCACAAGCGCTGTTTGAAGCGAGATTGGGTTGCCTACTATACCTTGGCACACATCTGGGGCACACAGAGAATGATACCCCAAATATATACAGGCGGACAGTTCTCGAATTTCTCGCGATGGGACGCCCAATTCTAGCACTAGCCGGCGCTCAGGTTCGAGCACTGCGCTGGCGTGTTGCTTCGCAACTCGCCAGGGTCGCACAAGCCAAGGCAGAGCCTAGCACGAGGTTGTCCAACATGATGGCCGGTTCTCGCGGTCCAAAAGGCTCGCTTTTTGCTCGCTTTCTTGGGAACACAGAAGGCCTCCAAGAGGAAACCTGCGCCAATATTGGGGGACCATGCCTTTTTCAACAAGGTACAACGGACAGCCCTGTGAGGTTTTGACAGCCCTCAAGTGGCTTGGCCTTCTCTACGTTTCTGGAGTTGTTCATGGAAACCATGCGGCCGGCGGCATCGTCCAAAGGAGCTCACACATGCCCAAGGTCATCGACTGCTGATCTGCTGTGCGCTGCTGGCTGCAAATCATGTCACAGAAGCTCGCCAATCAGTATACTCCTGAAATCCCGACCGCAAGCGGAAAGGGGTGGGGATTCTCGGAGTGTAGTCCTTTGGCCCTGAACACGAACACAAGTGAAGCACAAACGCAAGCGCAAGCACAAACGTAAACACAAACAAACGCACTCGCGTGTTTGCTGCGCTTTTGCTTTGTTTGTATCTGTGTTCAGAGGGGACGTGGGGGTCGTCTACAACATAGCACGAAACAGCAAACGAGACTGCATGCAAGAATAGCTGCAAGAAACGCGCGTGTTCGCTTGCTGCGACCAGTGTCGGGCGCAAGTAATTCAATTCTGCAACACAGCACAGAAACACAAACGAGACTACACACGAGAACAACTACAAGACACGCACGCATCTGCTTGCTGTCGCTGCGTAAATAGATCTATGGAATTGCAGGTGTTACCCCACTCTCCCAAGTCCTTTTTAAAGGGGTGGGGATTTTCTTCTGGAGCTGTCGCAGGTGGCAACACCTTGACAGCTGTCGCTTTTTGGGCATGTCAATGTGACATCCGAGAAAATGCAGGTCCTTCAATAAAGCCACACAGGAGTACTTGTTGTCCATGTAGCTCACCCAGCCTTTCAAGGCCTGCAATCTTCTTTCATGGCTTCATTTTGACTACACGGGGCAGGAAAAAGCAAGCACCCACACCACATTGGCATGTGCCATGGACATGACTACCTTGACATGTCTCTTGATGCATCTACCTTCAACCAAAAGAAGGCCCAGGAAGAAACTCATTTGGCCTATCAACATTGCCCTGCCTCCAACTCGCTTGTGTTCAAGTCGTCAAAGCAAGTGGAGTTGACCAAGGTTTTGTCAAATGACCTCGGCAAATCCCCCCCCAGTCTTGGCCAAAGAGATCCGAGCCCTTGCAACAAGTGGCAACTGTCTGCTGGTTAAGAGGAATCGTGAAGGAAACCCAAAAAGGCAAAAAAACGATGTTTAACCCACTAAAGTAGATTATATCCTAGGGTAAGGGAAATCCCAGTTTCCCCAACCATGATCATAGAATGCGAGCGTGGGTTGAACATCCACAGGGACCTCCTGCATTGTCAGTTTTGCACAGGCAATCCGGTCGAGCGGAAAACAGCATCAGGTATGTTTCTCGAAGGGAAACGGATTCCCGAAATGTTGGCTTCCTTTTAAACCTACCTGAAACAAGAACCAACTAAAAAACGCACACACACACAAACTACTGTGCCAAACCTTGCTCTGAAAAACTAGCCATGCACATTCATCCGCTGGATGACCTCTCTGGGTTGACGCTTTCCCGCTAAGCCACATCTTGCCCAGCGCCACAGTTGCATCCGCACCGGCTAAGAAATGATAGGAAGCTCCCGGTTGGAAGTTTGCAGAGCTCGTGACGTCGTAAACGCCTAGGAAAAAAGCACGCACACGCCTAGGGCTGTGGGTCAAACATAGGGACCCAAGGACTAGAACCCCGCGCTTTTTTGCTGCTAAGCGATTTTCGACCCTGGGCCCAGTTCGTCATGCATCACAAACAAAAATATAAGCGCAGTGAGCACTTGATCACTTGATATGCACCTGAAGGACCCGAACAAGTCTGGATGCAAGCCAAGCATCGCCCCTGAACAGAGCAGTAAATCGAAGGAAGCTGATTGCCATCAAACGTCTTCCTGAGTCTCGTGAGATATGCTTCTAAAACAAAGATGGTTGAGCTAGTTTCGCGGTCGGACTTGTAACAGAAGACCCCCCAAAACAAACATCATGTTTATCAGTTGATCCCTTTTGCTTCTTGTTGAAACAAAGGCAAAAGGGAGCCAATGAGCTGTCTGTAGTCTTTGAACCAAATTTTGTCAGGGGTCCCATCTTGAGCGATCTCCGAGTCACAAGAAATTCCCTCTCTCCGGAAATTAAGGGAATCTTCCCATAGAAAAGAACCTTCAAACCTTCTGTGCTACTGGGATGACTGGCTTTTCTGACTGGCATTTCCAAGCCAGCAGCTAGGTTGGCCTTCAACCCAGGCAATGCAACGAGGGATTTTCAGTCGGAAACCAGAATGGGTGCTTATGTCAAATCGAGGTCCGTGTTCTTTGATTTGGTTTGTCCTTCAAAAAATCCACCAAACGGTCGTGCTCTCAACCAACACGAGCCCCAGCCTTTCTTTTGTGCGCTGCCAGGTGTCAACGCCTCAAGTGTCAGCTCTGGCAGTAGGGACGCATCCAGCGCGCGGTTTTGCTTTGCCCGCGAACGGTGCTGGAAGCATTCGAAGAGCCTTGGCTGGAACCCAACTTCAGTCTCTCAAATGCCAGGCACATGCAAGAGTCACCCGACCGTACCAATTCCTGGCGCCGATGCACCCATTGCTCATTGAGGCGACATCAGACATTATTGGCACCAGAGCATAGCTGAATGTTTTCGAGCAATGCGCACTACACATATCTGCATTTGAGATGCCCGGACACCAGCAATGATGTCAGTACCTTGGCTGGAACTAGTTTACCTCCTGCCCCAACCTGTGATTGATTCCCGGGGAGTTGCCAAAATGAGGGTATGTTTTGTTGATTAAAGCAGCGCAAGGCGGCACCAGGGGCCAAACAAGGGCTATCTTTTTGACAACCCCGCGCTTGGTTCCAAGGTGCCAGCAAAAAGCCCAGCGCATCAATATTCGCCCATAGCGTGTGCGGGATGGCAAGCACTGCACTCCATCCGGACTCCATTCCATGCTGGGAAGGGCAACGAGCCACAATCGTCGGAGGGCATGCAGCTGCAATTTGAAAACGCACGAACCCAGCGGCAAGTTCTGTTCACCACCCTGCCTGGTGATCTACATGATGATATCCTCGAAACACAAGTGAGTCATAATCAGGTATTAACCTGGTCGACCCATATCCATGTAAAGAATTAAGAAGGCAGCCGCAGCAATTTATGGTTGGGACTGTCCCTTACTAACCTTCACTTACCCGGGTTTTGATTGTGACTTAAGTGGTCTTGCCAGTGCGAAGCAAGAACGCTCGGCTCAGGACAGCACCTTAACATCCACAGCTTTCTTGCGGCGCCATGTGCTTGCCGCGAGGCATTTGACATGCTTGCACTGGTGCAAAGATTCTTCAACTGCTTCAACAAATCCCAGATTGCACGGAAATATTTGGCTGTGGGTCAAGAAAAGGTACCCAAAATGGAACCCTGGTAAATGGAAACATGGACTAAAACCTGCGGTCCCTAGTGGTTTAATTTTGACGCACACCCATTTGGGTTTGCCAAACTCCATGATGAACAGGGGTTCGTATACCATCCACCATGGTGGTTTCCGTGCGGTCTGGTGAAAAAGGGTAACGTCGCACATGGCCGATTTGAATCTTAGGATCCACAATCAAGTTGACCTAGTTCTGCACACGCGGCTGAGCGCTTGCATGATGCCTGGGCTTTTCTGTCGAGCTCCAAAGAGCTTGGGCTTCAGTCTGCAGCATCTCACAGAAGGCCCTAGGGCCCAAGGCAAAAGACCTGCAAAGTTGGTCGCCCCCCTTGCGTGATTTCGGCACGCTTAACTGGAGAGCCTTTTGGTGGGCAGCGTTTACATGGACCTTCACTTTCGGAGTTGACTGGCCACAGTTCAAACTTTGGGGTGGCCAAAATGGCCCCAGTTCTTCGGAAAGCCCAACTCCCGAGTGAGGTCACCTCGAAATGACTTTGACCGATCCACTCATCAGCTAAGGCTGCTGCGACGCATGTGGAGGGGATGTCAGCGAAGGCCATGGCACTGAGAAGTGCAACGTGGGCATCCTCCTCTCACTAATTCCTAGGACCAAACTGAAAGCAATCCTCGGTGGGTGCCACGTGTGAGGGTCAAACCTGCCCACAAGGGGTTGTCTCTAGCGAAGGCCCCCAAATAGATTTCCGATGTTTCCCTTCCCTTTCCCTTTCTCTCCAAAAAAAAGTTAACATAAGTGGGCGGGTTTTGTTGGTTTCCCTTACAAACAACCCCCCCCCCCAAAAAAAAAGAAAGAGAAAAGGCGTAACCCCCAAAAAACAAGGTTACCATAAGTGGGCGGGCAAGCGAAACCACCCGCCCCCCCCCCCCAAAAAAAAAAAAAACAAAAACAAAAACAAAAGCAACCCCAATACCGGAAAAGCAGAAGCTCTAGGCTCCAGGCTCAAACAGTCGCAGCTGCTTGGCCTCAAGCTGGAGTTCAGAGCAACTCGGATGAGGAGATGCGTCTGCGGCATAGGGTCCGAACATGCGCATGCTGGTGGTGTTCCTTCTGATTTCCCTTTGGAGCAACCGCAAAAACAGGGAAGCCTTCAAACCACACCCAAAAGCAGGGTATGCCATCTTAGGCTCATGTTTTTGGTTTAGGGGAGCCAATGTGGTTCCCCGCCCATGTTGCGTGGGGGCTCCCCATCAGGTCGCGGCAGTTGAGACTGAGGATCCTTTGGCGGCAGCGTGATGGCTTCTGGACACCTGGCAAGGGGCGGCAGGTGTCCCATTTCGTAGAAAGCGGGTGGTGCAGAGAAGGGGAACAGCCCTCGGAAATTGGGTATGCGAAATACGGGTGTCCTTTTTGTGGGGGAACCATGTTTTTTTGTGGTTTGAAGGGAAACCGAAAGGAACACCATTTTGGGGCCGGCGATTTTTAAACGTCAAGCTTGTTGGAATCGAGTTCATCAACCTATTGTAAAAGTACATACCCACAACCAATGAGGCAAAGACAAACAAAAGTCTTTGATACCTGCACCTAACAAGGAATTACACAAACTTCACACACCCAGCAAATGGAACGATCGACAAACGTGTCGGAATGCAACGCCTCCGGCACGATGCATTCCTTGCCAAAGGTCCGGAAGGCAACCTGGCGAGCAGCTGGACATCACTTGCGATGCGTGGCCAACCTTTCCTGCTCTGTGTCTGTGTCTGTGTCTGTCTGTCTGTCTGTGTTTGTTGAGGGTATAAACCCTTTTTGGGGTTGGCTTGAACATCATTTTGGGGGTCTCCCATTTGACACATATCCATACGGCTCCCACTCTGAAAGCCGCGACGGGTCAGACTGGGTCGCCGGCTCGCATCCAATAATCCCAGCCTCACCGGCTTTCTGACACATCACTTGGACAACGGACGGACAAACGCCTGGCTGAATGAGGGGATGCCCCGTTTGAGAGTTGGGGTTCTGGATCATAGGAAACTCCCGCTTCACCGTCAACAGTAAGGTCGGAGCCCATCGTTGGAGCAGCCGGCCACTCCTTCCCGTCACAAATCCGATTTCCTCAAAACATGGGTTTGTGTTAGCAAATTCGCGCAGCGGTGGCTTTTGTGTTGGTTTCCCCGTAAAACCCAACAAAAGAGGGCATCCCGAAAAACAGGAAGCCACATGCACATATCCAAAGACATGCAAGCACTTCGCTCTCGGAAGTAGATACAAAGGCGATATACTGCGCGCGCGCGATGATGGGCGTCTTCAGAGCGCCCTACGCCCATTGACCTTGTTTCTATGATTCTGACTGCACTGGTTTTTCTCCCCCCCCCATCCCCCCCCTGTTGATCCATGTGTCAAAAAAGGACTTGGACCCCAAAACGGAAGGTGAAAAAGGGCACCGACTCTCTCAACAAAACCACAGCGATGGGATTTGGGCCCCTGCCGAACCTCATTGCTTGCCTTTCGGGAATCGAGTTATATCAAGATGGCTCATCAAATTGGGAATCGTTAATGGGAGCATCCAAGGATATATATATATATATACAGATATACACCCCGTGCTTCCGGTTGCCACCATAGTAAGTAACCAAGCAAAACCATCCATGGTAAAACCTAGAGCTGTTAGACAGGTTGGGTCCCAATTCAATGCCCTCAAACCGCTCCAGACACCTTTCCGGACTGGCACCCAGGACACTGGACAGGGTCCCAGATCGTCACTCCCTGCGACCAAACCGGCCCGTGCGGTTATTGACGTCCTTGTGGTAGTAGAGGATCCCTGGATCTATTCTGCAAGAGAGTCCAATACGTCAAGTCAAACCGCGCCAGACTGGGAGCAGATTGCTGCCGGCGACTGGTCCAGGGCAACTTCGGGAGGGCCAGTTTCAGGGCGACCCCGGGAGAGGCGACTGCTCCCGGCCAACTCGAAGTGACTTGGGCGCAAGCCGGCCCAAGTGGTAATTAACGGACTAGCTGCCCTATTTCTGACTTTTCCGTTAATCCTTGTTTGTGGTCAACTTCGGGAGGGCCAGTTTCAGGGCGACCCCGGGAGAGGCGACTGCTCCCGGGCCAACTCGAAGTGACTTGGGCGCAAGCCGGCCCAAGCGGTAATTAACGGACTAGCTGCCCTATTTCTGACTTTTCCGTTAATCCTTGTTTGTGGTCGTAGAGGATCTTATAAGTGGTCCCTGGGTTTGCGGACGTGTTTCAGGACCGGTCCTTGTGATTAATGCGCCGAGGGTCGGCGGCAGCAGGCGGGAGCCTGGTTAATATGTCAAGTAGTAAATAGATTCCCTCTAAAAACCAACAGGGGAAAATCACAAACACATTAAGCACATGGATGGAACTAGTCTACCCAAACGCGTGTTTTCAGGACCAACAACTCCAAGGCTGCTGAGCCTGTGGACGTATCTCGTCCCTGGGCCGCGTGACCCGGGCCGCGCTGTTCGCTTCGGATCCGCGCGCGGCTGCGCGCGTTTCGCTTCGGAGCCTCGCGGATCTTCAGCCAGGCGCTTCGGGGCAGCAGAAAGCCCAGGCCTGGGAGGGAAGCTGAGGGCGGCCCTTGGCCGTGGGGGGTGGATCAAGCTACTTTACAAGTACGCTATAACCATGGCAATATGTGGGGTAACTGGGGTTACTCTCCTTGTGGTTCTAACCTACTCAAGTAGCTTCATGGCAATGAGTGGGGTAACTGGGGTTACTCCCCTTCCCATGGTTCCAACCTACTTATTAACTAGCTTGAACACCAAAGTTGGGTTGGTTTAGAGGGATAGGACATGTTCAAACATGGCCATGCCTTTGAGTTGAAATGGTTGGGGGGGTCCAAAATCCAAGACGTGATTCGAAGAGGCCCTGGGTCCTAAAAGGCAACAAGGCCAGGAATCTCAAGACATGGACCCTCCAAAGCACCGAATTCTGACGTCCTCCGAGTCCGGGCTCCATTGAAATTCAAAGCCGCTTGTTTTGTTGCCTCGCTGCTCGGCTTTGAGGTGGCTGTGGGTCAAAAATAGGGTAACCCCAAAATGGCACTCTGGTAAATGGAAACAAGGACTAAAACCTGTGGTTATCTGGTGGTTTAATTTTGACCCATACCCAGGTCTTCTTGGCTCCGGAAAAGAACACCCCGCGGCGCGGAAGCCATTTGCATGAAGACATGCAGAACATCGGAAGCCCATCTCACCAAAAAGAAACCGGTGGCACATCCAGGAAGCAAATCATGGAAAACAAACAAAATAATCGGCTGCACATACATCCAAGAAGCAAACATCTGCTGTGCGCTTTAAGCTTTCAGTGGCGGAAATTACTCGGCGTTTTCACCACGCCTGGAAAGTATGATGTGCGCTGCAGGCGGCAATGATCCGTGGCCGTGCCCTGCAACTCAGTGGCACCGGATGCATCGCGCACGTAGGTGGTTGGGGCTTGAGGGACCAAGAATCAAACATGAACCTGGGGCCGTGTTCTTTTTCTTTTTCGAGGATCATTACCCTTTCTGGGGCTGGTTGCAAAACAAAACCACTTTGCTGACTTTTGTGGGGATCCACCTATTTTGACACTTGCCCACGAGAGCTAATCATCATGATTCAATCCAGTCAGTTCTTGTGACCTTCGAAGCTGAGACCTCGATTTTGGGTTTCCGGTTCGCGCAGCAAAACGGACCATCCGTCTCACAAATGACAGAGCTGTGCTCAAGCGCGCGGAATAGATTTCAGAAAATTAGGGGGCATGCAACAGACTGTGCCAAAGGAAACCAGTAGTTTACACGTGCCTCATCAAGGCCCCTGTGAACTCCTGGACTTGTCTCCCCTGCAACAATTTACCTTGGGAATCAACCCCTAGCGCCACTGAACAACGGGCTGCGAACCTTGGAACTTCTCACTTCCTAAGTGGATGGGCCAAAACAAGCTCGAACGTGTTGCCACTGAACTGGTTCAAACTCAAAAGTCATATGAGTCAAAATGAAAACCCGGTACACAAATTGTTGACCCAGGGCCATGTAAAGAAGTCAGAAGGCGGCCGCAGCTATTTCTGGCTGGGACCGTCCCGTACTGGCCTTCATCTACCCGAGTTTTGATTGTGGCTCATATATAGGGGAGTTGTCAAAGATATGGTCCTAGTGTGGACACTGGTGCCGCCGATCTCTGCTGCTTGTTCAAAGGGATAAGACTTGGTTCACCCACCCAATACAATGAGCGTATGTGCCAGAATAGGGAACCCCCCAAACCCAGACCCACAATCCCAATAAAGTATCTCCCTTTTGTGGGGATGGTAGGGGAATCCAGAAGGATTTGCCAAGCTCTCGAGCCTGAGGTCCCTATTTTTTGAGAATCACCCAAACGAGTCACAATCAAACCTGGTTTCTACATGGGCTACCCAAACCAATGTAAAGAACATGTCCAGGCAACCGCACCATTTTTTCTGGTTGGGACGGTCCCTTCACCTTCACTTCCCCGAATCGGTTTTGACTACGGCTCAATTGGGCATGGGTCAAAATGAAACCGCCAGGGCCCCGGGTTTTAGTCCTTGGTTCCCTTTGCCAGGTCAACCCATGCCAAGGGAACAACGCTCCAAGCGACTCGATCAATGCGCGAGCCACTTTTCTGTCCAGGCCTTGAAGCCGAAGTCGTTCCACGCGCTCACGCACCAAAGGCTCGGGTCCTGGGAGAAAATTAGAGACCGTAGCCTTCTGAATGGGCGAGGGGCTGAAAGGGAAGCCAAAAAGACCAAAAGACCTGTGGAAGAGAAGTTTTCTTTTATGGTGGCTTCCTTTCTCATTGGTGGCCCCTGTTTCTGCTCTCCTCATTTCGTAAGTGACTCATCTTGTGGCTTCCAGGATCTCACTGGCACACTTCGGTCCTGGTCCAAGAGCCCCGCAGTACCTCACCGCACAAGGAACCAAAGGCATGCGTGCACCAGGACCGCTCCGAGCGTCCTGCACCGCGCTCCGAAAAGCATAGGGCCCGGACTTCGGAAGAGGGCCAAGAAGTCGGGGGAGAAGAGAAGATCCTCCTCAGCCTCGGGATTTTTGTTTTTAATAATAATAGATTATGTTTATTTGTTTTCCCGCAAGACTTCTGACTTGCGCCAACTACCAAGTCACTGCGCTGCAGGTCTTCCCGTCCCTAAACCAGGTAACAGTAGAACAACTTACTCAATGGCCAATACGGGTTCTGGGAAATCTGAAGATGACCAACCGGAGCAAAAAACAAACAAACATAGAGCCACAAGTCCACACACCGACCCAAACTTGGCCAGTGACGCCCAGAGGTGTCAAGTCTCAGCGCTCAGCGAAACCTAGCACCCTGCAGGTGGTTGATGTCTTGATCCCTCCACCAAGAATCACTTGCAACGGACACTTTTTCACGGCGAACCTGGCGAGCTTCTGATATATCAGAACCGGGTTGCATCCCCCTTGAATTGTTCTCACAGGATGAGAGTGTCAAAACTAAGACATCCGCACATGCCTGGAAAATGAGACATAATCAAGCAGGTCCTGTGTGGCTCTGTTGGCGCGGGACCCGCTACAAAAGGTAAACCACCCCGACGTGGTGTCTGTGGCAGTTTGGGATGTCTGCATGTTCTTGGTTTCGGAAGAACATGTAATTACTTCATCACTTCTCATCACTTCTTCACGTGCTTGAGCTTAATATCCATGGGCACTCCCTGCAACATATCCTTCACCGGGCAGTGAGAATCCACCACAGCTTTCAATTGTTCGATGGTCTCGGTCTCTGCTGGTGACTCGACCGTGTATGTGCCCTCAATCTTGTTGAAGCCCGCACGGACAGACTCGTCCACCGCAAAGAATCCTCGAAGGTCGATGTGCCCAGTGAGCTCCACCGAGACTTTGCCCAGCGGCACACCCATGGCATTGGCAAAAGCTTTGGTGGTGATCTCTTGACAGGCGCCCAAGGAAAAGAGCAAAATCTCAACAGGATTTGGAGCGGTGTCCTGCCCACCAAAGCCCGCTGGCTCATCTGCCTTGATCTGAAAGTTGCGTAGCTGGCCGTTGCTCACCAAACCATCCACCAAGTGTGAAGATGACTGGAAGCTTGCCTGAGCCTGAGCCGGGTTCTTCTTGAAGTTGGCTTGAATTGCTGCAATGGCTTCAGCCGATGGTCCCCCGGAAAAGCATCTGAAGGCTGGGCAGACGCGTGCATGCCGCAGGCCACGAGCCAGCATGATGGGACTCAAAGGTCTACTGTCCGGCAACGGATCGAGCCAAAAGCTTGTGCCATGTGGACATAGTTCACAAATCTTTCTCCAGTCATCCATATCGGCCTCCGCTCATCCCATGCAAAGTCTCCCCTACAATCTTGGAACCCCACAACCCACCAGTTTTCTGGAGGAATCTCCTTGTAGGGGACCCCCCTTTACGGGTTTCCTTCCGTCAATTTCCTCCAAAACCTCGGGATGGGCTTCCCTCCTGCTGGGCTTCCGACGAAAATCACCTGTTCAAAGTGCTCCTCCATGAAGGCCCTGGCGCAAGCCAGGATTTGCTTCTGTTAAAGCACCCAAGACTCAAAGACTTTGGGGTCTACCAACAGATGTGTAATATACATGTATGTATGTATATATATATATACATATTAATATATACATGTATGTATATGTCTTACATATCATACTATCATCCCCTTGTCATAATATGTGCATACAAACTCCGCTGAACCACTGGTGTCAGAACAAGCTTGCCACTAACATGAAGAATACCAAACACGCCTCACACAAACACGCACACATGATACACTAGAACCAACTGCCAACATGGCCAATGCAGATTTTAATGGCTTCTCAAATACGATTCAGATATTGAACCCGCCGAATGGTGGTCTTGCGTTTGGCTTCCCTTTAAATCACATGCCACGTTTCCCAAAGTGGATGCCATCCCAAGACCAACATTCCTCGCCTTTCGAAGACTTGCCAGTAGTGGTGCGCGATCTTGCCAGTGTTCATCTTGGTCCATTTCTGCATCTCCTCGCCAGGCTCTCAGCTCATAGATCGGCGATCAGCTCGATCCACCCGACAACTTGGGCTGGCACAAACCACCAGTACCCGAATCCCAACCAACCTTTTTGCAGAGTTGTATATGTTTTACAGGGGAAACGGAAAACACACAGTTCTTGGGGCCGGGTACTAGCAGTCGTGCATTCTTTTTGCAGATCTCTCCGAGTTGTAGTCGTCTCCAGGCTTTTGCTCGTAGATCTGCGGCGAGAAGAATCGCTAAACAGGTTCGTGGGTTCCGATTTTGGGCCAAAAGTCTGTTCTTGGAGAAAACAAGTCTGAAAAAAAAGGGAACCAATTCAGTGGCTCAGTGGACATGAATCACCCTCCAAATGATGTCCAAGGGGCCTTATGCAAATTGATGCCCACAGGAGTATGACATTTGATTGAAAGTACCCACACTTACATGGGCATGGAAAGGGGTTCCCTATTCAGCATATTGCCGCATGCCCAAAAAGACTACCTAGTCTCACCAAAAAACGCACCCGGGATCACGCGCCTTCCACACGTGGATGTGGACAGCATGGGCACTCGCCACCTGATTCCGAGGATGTTTCAGGGGGCTTGCGCCCGAATTTTCCTTTGGGGGTGGGGGAGGGGGGTGGCAAACAAGGGCCAAATGGGATGTTGACCCTCCTTGGGTATGCATTTCCCTTTCAATTCCCCAATTACTTTACGGGGTTTCAAAACAGAAGCCTAGCAGCGCCTAAAGTTGGATTCGACTCATATCGGCATGGGCATGGAGTTGAATCGGCGGCCCAGGAAACGATCCACAGATCTGGAATCAATATGTAGGGGTCCCAAAAACGCATGGAGTGTGTCTGTGTGTGCTCTTTGAGGGTACCCCTTGAAAGGGAAACCACAAGAAATATCACCATTTGTAGGGTAACCATTTTGAGAAACACATGCGATATCAGTATTTCTTCTCTTTGCAAACACATGTTGACATGATGTTCTCTCCGAAGAAATGGGAACTATGACAAGCCTCCATTTGCTTAAGTCCCCTGCAAGAAATAAAGCAGAGTTCCAGTAGTGATAGATTCCCTTTAAAGCCAAGAGGGGACAATTAAAAAAAACAACTTAACCAAATGGAAGCAAGTTGATCGTTTGGATGCAGGTCGCTGGGTCTTCTGCTCTTTGGATGGTTGCTCCCATCGTCGCGAAGGCCACCGGATCGTCCAGGGACACGTGGAGTGTAAAGAGCGCTGCCTGGGCGGTCACAGCCTAAGCCGAGGCCTCGTTTTGCTTGCGGAGAAGGTTACCGGTTCTCCGAAATCAACATGTTTTTTGCCAGGTTGGTGCCAGCACCCCCAAAGCAACTGCTTGTTCCCATGACCCAAATCCCAAGCGCTGTCCAAAAAGCAGCCGTTGGAGGGGGTGCTGCTAGGTGCTTCGTTTGTCCTGGGAATTGGGTAGGCCTTGACGAATGCCCTTCTGCATAAACACCCCCCTCGATATGCGGGACAGAGTGCGGGACAAAGTGCGGGACAAAGTGCGGGACAAAGCGCGGGACAAACTGCTGGACAATCAACTGTCCGGCAACTTGTCCGGGGGGTTGTCCGGAGGGTTGTCCGCGCACTTTGCCGAGATTTTTGCTGCAACCCCCCCTCCTGCGAGAATACTTCCCTCCGAGTGATTCCCACGTGGTTTCCAAGTGGTTTTGAGCGGGTTTCGAGTGGTTTCTGAGTGGTTTCCGAGTGGTTTTGGCGTGTTCCAAACCTGTCCTGGCCTCAGACTTGTCCTGGGGTTTGTCCCGGGTTTTGAGGGGGGTTGTCCCGGGTTTTTGGGCCCTCAAAGCTGTCCGAAGGGTTGTCCGGGGGTTTGTTCGGGGAGTTGTCTTACCGATTTTGTGCCCTCAAAGCTGTCCGGAGGGTTGGCCAGGGGTTTGTCCGGAGGGTTGTCCGGGGTTTTAAACCCGTTTCGACCCAAAATATGAAAACAGGTGTTTATGCAGAACCGCCTCTCTCAAGGTAGGCCCACAACCAGTGTCAGCAGCGGATGTTGAACTAGACCCTCTTGAATGGGGTACAAGAATGGTCCCCTGATATTTTAATCCTTGAAGTGGTTCATTCAGGGTGTTGTGTAAAGCGCGAAATCCGAGGAAGGGGCTTATTGCCATGTGTCTTATGTCCAAAACGAGTGCAACTCATGATTGACAAAACAGTACTAAGCACATCTAGATGCCCTTCGCTCTTTGTCCCGAGAGCTTGGGCCAAGGGACAGAGCTGCTGAGGGCAAACCACAGCTTACGCATCAGAGAACCGCAGTCAGGCTTCCCAAGTATTTTCCAATACACGATGCCTTCACACTTTCACGCTGCGGACGTTCCGAAGGATTTGTTCAGCTGTAGATCTATGGGTTTGGGCAGACGTCATCTGCGTTTCAAGTAACGTCCCACATGCTTAGAGCCCTTCAATGCTCGCAACTCTTGCAGAACTTATAGGCGTTCCCACAAAATCGGAGCCCAAACTATAGCTGACCGTCTTCATAGACAATGGCAGCGAGGTGCAAAAACACAAACAACAAAAAATCAGAGCCCACCAACTCAGCTGCCTTCAACGCAGGCTTCCCTTTCCCGCCCAAGCGGGGAGTAGAATGAAAACACCGCAACCACGTCCGATCCCGCGCCTCTGGTATGGACAGCAGGGATTCCAAGCAGTTCCTGGCGCCCCATTTTTATTCTCCTATGGCATATGGGCCCTGTCCTTTTAAACCACGGGTGGTGTCCTTTTTGAAAATCCCTTTAAACCACCCCCAAAAAAGCCTCGGTACCCTCCAAAAGGACACGCCCAAATGAGTTTTCCCAGAAACGGTGGACTCATTTTTGGGTGTAGGGAAACGAAAAGGAAACCACCCATTTTGGTGTTCCCCTGTGAGAAACGTATGATCAACACCTGGTCAAAGGATCATGGAAAGAATTTGAGTGGAGATCCGCAACGTTGGAACTGTCCCTTGCAGGACGTGGCTCCTACCTGATGCTTCTTGAGGCGAGGTTTACCCGTTTTAGGGTTGGCTTAAAGGAAAACAAAAGGCAACCACACATTCTGGGGCTCAAAATCTCTGTTTTGACTCATCATACCCATAATTGCAAGCAAGAATTTCGACCAGTGGCCCCTCGGCTAGTCGGTTTCGACGACCTACAAATGTACCGGCAAATTTCCCTTCCTTCATGCCAAACCGGTGGACCACTTCTTGGGGCAGGAAACCAATGTGCTACCAACCGGGGGTAAAGGAAAATTGGGAAAAGGAAACCCGGCGAGGCACAAACTGCCAGGATTTTTTGTGGTGTGTATGGGTCACTTGCAAGATCCACATGTGACACAGTCAGAAAGCACAAGCTAGTCTTGCTTTGTTTTGATTGGTTCTCACTATGGCCACGAGGAATGTTCTTGAACTCATGCAGGTCACGATCAACTTCGAAAGATGACTTCAAACCAAAGGTTTGCTTAAGTTACTTATCCAATGCGGAGCCTCAAATCTGCTTCTCGGTTGTGAGCCAGGATGACCTCCGGTCAGGTTCAAAGGAATCAGTCAAAATGATTGATCTGCTTGGGCACGAACAATTGCTGTGCCGCGCATGTCTTTGGCAAACGGGTTGGAAGCAGCCGTTTTGACCGCCTCCTGGCACAGACCGGGCGGCAAGAAGCAAGTGGCTGATTGGAACAGAGCCTCATCGCAATCTGCCTCCAAGAACTTACAATCCTTGATGTACCTTACTGCAGCATTTCAAGCCAGCCACACCAGGGTTGGTCTTTGGCCCTCATGTTCATTGCTTGCAAACCTTGGTCATGTTGGTTTAAAATTTGGATTGAACAGGCTAAAGCGGAAACTCCGCTCCTTGAAATTGTTCTCAAAATAGGGTTCCCCTAAATGATCGCTTTCCTTCTGCTTGCACTGACATACCAAAGGTGGACCTTCATTTGGCTACGTGTTTTTTTCTTCTTTTTCTCTTTTCACCCTAGTTGACTTGGGAAAGCAACAGGAACACCAGCAACTTTGGGGCAATGCCCTGAGACATACTGTGGATGGACAAAATCCATTTCGCACCACTTTGAAACCATGGTTGAAACCATTGTTTGTCAGTATTTACAGGGGAATCATCAGACACCCGGGTTTCTTAGGTGGTGCGAAATGGATTTCGCAACCATCCACAGTATGCCAAGCTTGGGCTCGCTGCGACACTTCCCGGGCGGGGGAAGCTCTTGGCTCTGCGGATGCCCTGCAACGGATTGGCAACTTTTGTGCTTCTTGAAGCTATCCGTTTTGGACTGGTTTAAGGGGAAACCAAACTCCAAATACCAACTGTAGGTACCCCTTCGCTGTTTTCGTGGTTTTTATATGGGATTCCCTTGGTTCCCATGCAGGGAAATGGAATCACAGAGAAGGGCAAACCACTCATTTTGGAGGTCTTCTTTGATAGAGGTCGGCCAGGGTTAAATCAACGATTCATTTTCCCGAGTTTCTGGGCTTCGATTGGCTCGATTTGGAGGCTTCATGATGAAGAATCGCCGAGGTGCATCTTAGGAGCCCTGTCTAAACGTCGAGCGCCTGTTGAACCAATCTCCTTTGAACTCGCTTCCCTTTGCAGGGGGCCGATCGGATCGGGTGGCAAAACACATTGTCCAATGGCAAAGCCGGCTTTCCAGAGTCCAAAACTCGGCAAAAGCCACACAGGGGGGATGGATTGATGATTGCTCACCTCCGACTCATCAAAGCTGCGTTCAAGTTTGTCAGCTTGCAAAGGTACACTGCATGCCCCTAGAACAAGCTACTGTGGTTTTTTGTTTGGGTGTTTTAAAACTTAATTGGCACTGCTGCCCCAAACAAAATCAATGGATTCGGCTCAATTCTTTTTTCTGCGGATGTCTTGGGGTAAGTGAGCTACTTTTCATAGGTAGGACATTTTGAGGAGCGATAGGAACTTGCTTGCCACCCTTGATGGGAGGAAACCATCGACCTCCCCCTCCTCTTCGAATTAAGGGCAGGTTCCTTTGGGGTAGAGGGCTCGCAGTTGGCTAATGTTCCCTGACAAACACACACACACACAATGCCAGTCCGTGGTTTGTCCTCTCGGAATCAGCCCCATGCCAAAGGAATTGTCCGCCCGCGCGCCTTGCCGTGCAGCCAAAGGCCTTCATCAAAACTAATCCGTACATTTGGGTGTTGGGGACCCTCAAAATTGGCGGCTTTCCTTTTGGCTTCCTTTTAAAACAATCCCAAAAAGGGTATCCTCAAAAATAAGGCCGGCCCATTTGCGGCTTCCCGGCTTCCCAGCGTTTGATCCCTTGAAACTTCGCAAACATGGATTTTCTTACACCAAACACACCCATTGGTAAAAACTCCGAAGGGCCCTGCACATCCTCTAGGAACCGGACTTTATGGTCGAAACTTCCTATTAGCATCCTACGGATCCAGCGCCGTCCCGACCAGCCCCGAGTTACTGCCTCAGGGGTTGACCTCCTTCCCATTTCCCTTTAAAGGGGGGTGGTGTCAAGATATAACCAAACCCTGCTTTTTGACCATAACACATATAAGTGGTTTTGTAAAGGCAGCCTTTTGCCCTCAATTTGGGCGTCTGTTTTTGTGCGGAAACGGTGCCGCCCGCCCAGGGGGACACCCCAAAGTTGCCAAAGGGGTGGCTTTGCTTCTTGGTACAACCTCAGATGCCCAGTGGCCATGGGAAAAAATGACGTCCTTTTTTGGTTGGTTGACTTTAAAGGGGAACCCCTTCCAAAAGAAGGAAAACCGCTTTGGCACCACTGGGCAACTGGGCAACCATTCAAGGGGTAGCCTCAACATACAGACACACACACACACACACGCCTCATGGCAGAATATCCGTGGACGAGGCCCCGGCGTCGCTGCCTTGGCTCCGGCTGCAGGTGACTCCTCCACAAGCGCTGCCTCACGGAGTCACCCGAGTCTCAGGAAAGGTTCGCAGAACCAAAGGCTTGTAGAACCTAGGAAAGGCTCTTGTGCGTTTTCTTTGGGTATCCGTGAACCAAGGAAGAGCTTGTAAAACCTAGGAAAGGCGCTTGTGCCAAGGAAGAGCTTGTAGAACCTAGGAAAGGCTCTTGTGCGTTTTCTTTGGGTATCCGTGAACCCAGGAAGAGCTTGTAGAACCTAGGAAAGGCTCTTGTGCCAAGGAAGGGCTTGTAGAACCTAGCAAAGGCTCTTGTGCGTTTTCTTTGGGTATCCGTGAACCAAGGAAGAGCTTGTAGGACCTAGGAAAGGCGCTTGTGCCAAGGAAGGGCTTGTAGAACCTAGCAAAGGCTCTTGTGCGTTTTCTTTGGGTATCCTTGAACCAAGGAAGAGCTTGTAGAACCTAGGAAAGGCTCTTGTGCCAAGGAAGGGCTTGTAGAACCTAGCAAAGGCTTTTGTGTGTTTTCTTTTGGTATCCGTGAACCAAGGAAGAGCTTGTAGAACCTAGGAAAGGCTCTTGTGCCAAGGAAGGGCTTGTAGAACCTAGCAAAGGCTCTTGTGCGTTTTCTTTGGGTATCCTTGAACCAAGGAAGAGCTTGTAGAACCTAGGAAAGGCTCTTGTGCCAAGGAAGGGCTTGTAGAACCTAGGAAAGGCTCTTGTGCGTTTTCTTTGGGTATCCTTGAACCAAGGAAGAGCTTGTAGAACCTAGGAAAGGCTCTTGTGCCAAGGAAGGGCTTGTAGAAAAGGCTCTAATCCGGGCGGATCCTTGAAACCTTGAAGGAAAGGCTCTTGTGCGTTTTCTTTGGGTATCCGTGAACCCAGGAAGAGCTTGTAGAACCTAGGAAAGGCTCTTGTGCCAAGGAAGGGCTTGTAGAACCTAGCAAAGGCTCTTGTGCGTTTTCTTTGGGTATCCTTGAACCAAGGAAGGGCTTGTAGAACCTAGGAAAGGCTCTGGTGGTGCCTTTGTTGGGTATCCCTTTCTTTTGAGGGTACCCGTCCGTCGCCATGAAACTCCGAGGGGTCCTAGACTACTTTCCTTGAGGGACCCTCTGGTAGGTTCCATATTAGTGGACAGGAGGGTACCCCCTTTTGGTCTTAAAGGGAAACCAAAAGGAACACCCATCCATTTTGAAGGTCCCCAAAAATGTAATCACCCTTCGGTGTTTGGTAAGAAACTGGTTCTGACAACCTTGTGTTTAGAGATCTTGGAACCATTCTGCGGTGTCTCTCCAGCCGCTCATTCCAACTTCGGATTGATCCGGAGGACCAAACTTGGAGCAGAACATAAGTCAGTTCAATGTCCCCACTAAAGAACACTTCCCTGGAAAAGTACAGTCAGTCCTCCGGATGGATCCAAATGTATTTTTGCGCACAAGCAACTTGGGGCGCGAGCCAAACTCCGTGCAAATATCCTTCGCTGCCGACAACCTCACATCAGTCGCTGAGTTGCCAATCGCGCCTTTTCAAACCCAATCCTTGCCTGTCAGGAGCTACTACACCCACCAAGTCCGAAAGGAACGTGTTGGGCACTTCCTTCCATTCACAACCTCAGTTTGGCAGGGCGGCCCATTTTTCTACGACGGCTCGCTTAAACCAAGGGCTTACCGAACTGAGGCGAATCAACCGCCCCTGGGTTTAAGTCGATGAAAGAAGATGACAGCTTGCAGCTGAAAAGGCGCTGGTTCTGAAAAAGCCTTCGCCCCATAGTCTCACTGGTGACTAAACGTCTTCGAGTGGGCTCACTGCAAGGCACTGGGCTGACTCTGAGCAGGACGCTGATTGCCCGCTTTTTGAGAGGCGTCGGCCTCACGAGTGGTGACACAACCATCGAAACATCTCAAAGCCACTCGCTTCCACTGGCCAAAAGAAGCCCTAACTTCTCAGTTGCAACTGACATGCCATCCAAAGTGAGTCCAACTCAGAGACTGAGAAGGCAAACATGCATACCTGGACCCTCAAAATATCTCAGAGTCTCAGAAAACCTAAAAACAAATGCCCCAAACATATGAGTGAATTCCATTTTCTTGTGGGTAGTCGGAGGGCCAGGTGCTTCCTTTCCCCGACCGACAGCCAGAGGCCCTGAGTAAAGCGCAGCTGACCCAGGATTTGGTTCCCACAGACTGGACCTCAGCTCTCCATCGCCAGCTTCGTTCGATCCATCCGGGACCCCCACAGCTGGCAAGGCGTAATGCCAGTGCCATGGGAGGGGAAGGCGAAACCACGGCTTCGGGCCTCGGACTTTTTGGCTTCGCCATTCGTTAACATAGCAGCTGGACGCAGAAAATCGTCGTTTCCCTGTGAAGAACATCACAAGGGTAAGAAAATCACCCCTCCCCCACCCACCCACCCTCGCACGCACGCACGCACAAAAAAAGAAAAAAAACACACACACACACACACACACACACACACACACACACACACACACACACACACACACACACACACACACACACACACACACACACACACACACACACACACACACACACACACACACACACACACACACACACACACACACACACACACACACACACACACACACACACACACACACACACACACACACACACACACACACACACACACACACACACACACACACACACACACACACACACACACACACACACACACACATGTGTGTGTTGCCGAGGGAAGTCCAAGCCAGTTGAGTAATTTTGAATCCCGCATTGAAGGAGTCTACCGGGAAAAAAAACACGTCAGACATCCGTAGGGCGGATATCAGCAACGTCGTATGGCTGGGACTGGACCATGCGCGCCAATGCTGGTCAGTTTCTTTTTCCGGGTGCCGAACCAAAAGTCAGGGGCTGTGTGGGATACAAGTGGGGGTTGATCAAAAGGTCCTTTACATGGGATGATGGGGGAAACCCGCTAAAAAGAGGATGCTTCCAACCCATGGTCATTTGGGGGTTAGGAACATTGATCAACCGCCAAGTACCATCATTAAGAGACAACCCCATAATGCAGGTCTTTGTTGTGGCTTGATTTTCTGCCTTCTGTCCCATGTATGGCCAAGGTGCTCTTTGCGAAGATTGGTCAAGCTCCAAATCCTTGTGGTAGGCTGGACAGCCTGCCAAACTGCCTTCACATGCCTTCACTCTACGAAGAATTTTCACTACCCCCCCCCAACTACCCAAGCAAACGAAAACCGGCTGTATAACCCCTATTGTGGGGAGCGACATAGTGGATCATACCAGCAACAAAAAAAAGGGCGGTTCGAGTCACAGCCGGTCGCGCAAATATCATCTCACACCACTCGCCTCCATCTGGCTCTGTGCATCTCTGGCCAGGTTCGGCAGCTCCGGAGTCGACATTCCTGTGAGCATGGGGCCCTTCCTAAGTGGCCCAACCCGATTTGCCACAAGCATCTTCAGCCCTAAAAGAGAAACGCATGGACATCCACATCCATGCTCAAGAAGTCCCTGTGCAGCTTGTGGCAGGTCATGATTCCATGAACGTAGCCTTGTCGAAACTTTGTATTAAGGCTAAGGGGACAAAACCGTTTCTAATGACCTCAAGCATGCAGGTCTTTTGACCACGGTCCACATGCTGCTTAAGTGGAGGCGGCAACCGCATTTTTCACAGTGAACATGCGGATCCCATCCTGGAGGAGGATCATAGAGTTTGGAGAAGTCCAGCTCGCCAAAGTCCTTCGGTCAAGGGCTCTAAGCCTACAAGTGGATGTCCGAAGCATGTGCCTTGCTGGAGGATTTACCCTTTTCTAGGCGATTCCATGGAAGCTCCAGGACCCCTTAAGACTTGGTTCCCTTTGCGGAGACCTGGGAGCTTCCGGCTGTTAGCCTGCGGGAGTGCACACCAAGCAGTTTGGAGGGTGCTCCCAACGAGGCCACGACAATCGCTTGAGCCGCTTCCACGTGCTGCAAATGGAAAAAGCCTGAGGACAGTCAAACGTGCCCCACTTCTCCCTGGGTGTGGGTCGCAAATAGCCACCCAAAATGGAACCCTGGTAAATGAAAACAAGGACAAAACGTCTGGGGTTCGTCTGGTGGTTTAACTTTGACCCATACCCATCTGGTCTGGTTGTTCGAAACTCCAAAGCTCATTCGCTCAGGCAACAGCCAAAGATGAAACAGAGCAGCAAGTTGGCCTCAGCTCATGGGCAATTTGAAGCGGATAAAGAGGTGTTCCACTTGGCTGCTTGCTGCAACCAGGACAGCCATTGCCACTCTGGTGCAGCTTGCTGAATCCTTAGTCCACTGGCAATGACTGATTGATTGTGCTCACTGGCTTGCCACGCGAAGAGTTGCACATGTGCTTTTCTCATTGGTCCGTGCTTCAAGACGGCTGAAGAGAACCATTCAATCAGCAAGACAGTTGAACCTCTGGGTGCAAGGGAGACTTTGCCTGGAATTCCAACCTTCTTACCTGGTGAATGGAGAGCCCAGCGGTGCACCCCCTGAGCCCCCATCGCATTTTCCTTTGCCTCGCCTCCTCGCCGCATGGATTTTTCGCAGCCCAAGGTTTTACAATTCTCTCTGTGCTTCCATTTTGGGGGCTCCCCACCAAAACAGTTCCCCTTGAAAAGTTGATCAATTGACTGGTGGTTTCCATTCAAACGATTGCCACTTTTGGAGGTTTCCTCTACATCGATTTTCTCTACAACATTCCCGGGTTGAATGACATGACAAAAGCAAACGACCGAGTGAATAGACCCAAAACCTTCTAGGTGCCAAGACCCTCGAGCAACAGGATGCGATGGATTGTTAGCTGGGGGTGGTGCAAGAAAGCTTGACAGGTCAAGTAGTGACTATTCTTGCTGGTTCTCAGCAGGGAATGAGGGAATGACCCCTATAAACCATCCCATGTGGATTTGAAGGGAATCCCCTTCCAGTTCATTTCCAACACGCACCCGGACTCGGTCACGTTCTGCCTAGAGCCATTAAGGATCGTTACTGCCATACCCTGTTCCTCTCTGTTTCTCTCTGTTTCTCTCTGTTTCTCTCTGTTTCTCTCTGTTTCTCTCTATTTCTCTCTGTTTCTCTCTCTCTCTCTCTCTCTCTGTTTCTCTCTCTCTCTCTGTTTCTCTCTCTCTCTCTCTCTCTGTTTCTCTCTCTCTGTTTCTCTCTGTCTCTCTGTTTCTCTCTCTCTCTCTCTCTCTGTTTCTCTCTCTCTCTGTTTCTCTCTCTCTCTCTCTCTGTCTCTCTGTTTCTCTCTGTCTCTCTCTGTTTCTCTCTGTCTCTCTCTGTTTCTCTCTCTCTCTCTCCGTTTCTCTCTGTCTCTGTTTCTCTCTCTCTGTTTCTCTCTCTCTGTTTCTCTCTCTCTCTCTCTCTCTCTCCGTTTCTCTCTGTTTCTCTCTCTCTCTCTCTCTCTATCTCCCTCTCTCTCTGTTTCTTTCTGTTTCTCTCTGTTTCTCTCTGTTTCTCTCTCTGTTTCTCTCTCTGTTTCTCTCTCTCTGTCTCTCTGTTTCTCTCTGTCTCTCTCTGTTTCTCTCTCTCTCTCTCTCTCTGTCTCTCTGTTTCTCTCTCTCTCTCTCTCTGTTTCTCTCTCTCTGTTTCTCTCTCTCTCTCTCTCTCTCTCTCTCTCTCCGTTTCTCTCTGTTTCTCTCTCTCTCTCTATCTCCCTCTCTCTCTGTTTCTTTCTGTTTCTCTCTGTTTCTCTCTGTTTCCTCTCTCTCTCTCTCTCTATCTCCCTCCCTCCCTCCCTCCCCCTCCCTCTCTCTCTCTCTCGCTCTCTCTCTCTCTCTCTCTCTCTCTCTCCCCCCTCTGTCTTGCGTCTTGCGCTCCTGCTGGATATCATCTACGCCTTTGCGTCGGAAGGCGCCTTACCATCTCACGGAGACCTGGGTTCGGATCGACTGGCGAGGTTGAAAGAGTCGACAGAGGTTCACTCAGCGACGGGTGAGGGCTCCAGGGTTTGAAAACCCCTGCTCGAACATGCATCCTTGACACAACATCCTGTTGGTTCCCCTTTTGCGAGGAATCAGGGTCTAGTAGTTTCAGCCAGTCAGGTGGGCTTGTCCCCCAAATGGTGGTATCACCAAAACCTGACTTTTCCGGAGTGGCTTTGTCAGACCAGTCCGAACTTGTTGCTTGCTACTAAACTTGATCTTCCTCTAAACTCCTTAGAGTCCAGCAACTTTCCACTGGGAAAGTGAGAAATGGAATGGTTTCCCTTTCAGCCAAAGCGGGAGGGCACTAATACCTATGACTTTAGGCTATATGGGACATGGCACATGCGGAGATGGTTCTTGCCTCCTCTGCCGCGCCTGACGCTGTTAAAAGAGAGAAGTGTCCGGACTCAACCTGGTATATATGTGTACATATATATATATATATGTTTTCAGTAATTTAAGGATGTTTCCAAATGAAGGATGAAGCCTTAAATGGGAGCAAACAAACAGCAGTGGTTGGAGACCCACAAATGGTGGCTTTCCTTTAGTCGCCCTTTGATGCAATCCTGGAAAAGAATATCCCTCAAAAGACATAAGTACTAGTATTGCTATGATTATTATTATCAGTACGATTATTATTATGTATTATATGTGCATGTATGTCGCGTGTGTGTGTATATATATATTATCCGGGGGTCTGGGCGCAAGACACATCGGATCCGACGCTCGCAGCCCATGGCCCCTTCTCCGGCTGAAGTGACTCGTCTCCGGGAAGTTCTTCAGCGCTTTTGTTTCCCTTGCGGGTGGTTGTTCTTCTAGGTCCTCCAGTAGAGAGGTTAGAATAAGGGTACCAACTTTTTTCTGTAGTCTATTTTAGTAGGGGAACCCTCCCCCCCAAAAGGGTACTACTAAGAGACCTAGTCTTGCTGGTGGGAACCACTCTGCTGGATGTGTTTTTCTCCCTTAGGGGTGCTTGTGTCATTCTGCTGGTGCTCAGTGGCAGGGAAGGATGAGTCCGGGCGCTGGGAATGCACCAGTGTTGGGGATTCAATGAAGGGAACCGTAGAAGGTGGGAGTTTCTAGTGGTCATTCCATGTCTCATTCCCCTGAGAACTAGGTTTTTGGCAGACTCCGCAGACTCCTATGATTGGTGTTCAGGCCGAGCAATGAGCCAAATCCAGTGCTCTTACTTCCTGAACACATGTCAAAGGATCCTCTTGACGAGATGAGTGGCCTAGGCTGCTACACCAAGCGAAGATATGTGACCGGATTTGGCGGCACATGTCAATCAAGTCCTTAGCTTGAGCAGTCATGTGTTGGACACTTGCCACATGTCACGCTGGGAAGTAGACTTCTGTCCAGCAACCTGTGCTTGCATGACAGCCTGGAAGAGAAATGATGCCAATGCCTTCCAGCTATGGCCTTTACATCGTTGGTACCCTTTGAAGGACATCGTTACGTGGCAACTTGTTTCCATCAACCTCAACAAATGTGTGTTCCCCGTGCGAGTTCATGGCCACCTCCCTTTGCTATCTTGAACTGCCCATGGCGCAAGCTGTGAAAGCACGACAAGCCTTTGCAGCCTTGGCAGCAGTGATCCACAATTTTCTATCTGACATCCACCATTGACTCTCAGGCTACACGGCGCAGCCTCGTCTCCGAGCGGGAGAGCTTGGCTCTCTCGGGAGGGCGTTACCGAGCTTCGCACGCTGTGCCAGCGTGCGTTGAAGCCATCGGCGTTGAAGCCATCGGCGTTGAAGACGTCCATGTACGGAGTACGGCTCACAACTCACACTGCCATCATGGAAAGATGCAACCTCAGTATGTCGTGAATTATGGACATGATTCAGCTCAGGGGCCCCTGTCTCCCTGTTTCATGTTGAGAAGTCATAATTCCCAAGGCTTGATTCTGTCTTGTAAACCTAAATGCACCATCTGGACAAACTGACAAGGACCCAGCCAGTCTCCAGAAAAAAATCAAGAACCGTTACATATGTCTGTCTATCATGTATGCGCAGAAAGTAAGCACAAAGAAAAACATCAAGGGTGACCTTTTGGAAAAAAAACAACAAGAAGGGTTCCCCTAGCAAATGGATGGCACAAAGCCAATCTAAAACAATGGAACCCGTGTAGTTCCAACCAAACCAAACCCATCAAACGGACACCGATGATGAAGGCGAAAAAAAAGGGTGAAAAATCAAACGGGACTCCTTCCTCTTGTTGTCCGGGCAGCTTTTTTGGCGCTCTGGCTCTTGTTTTGTGCGTCCAGACGTTGTATTGTGCAACAAATGTTTATGAATATATCAGCCTTAAAGAACTCCCTTCAAGAGCTCCCTTAAAGAGCTCCTGGTAGCTCCTTGGCTCCCTAAGGCAAACTTGGGTTTGCCCCAATACTAGAGGAACCTCGAAAGAACGGTTTTCCTTCGGCTTCCCCTTAGAAATCACCCCTGGGACACCTCCTTAGCTCCTTGCTCACCGGTCAGGCGCCTAAGGTCTGGGCACACCTTCCTCCACATCCACATGTTTGACGCGGACCTCTCGCACCGAACAACTTTCGCTTGCTTTTCCGTTTGATGGTTGCATTTGTTGCTTCCGAAACATCTGCCACAGTGCCAGCGTCTTAGTTACCAAAACAGGATGTCTCCTGCCAAAGTTGGAGGCAATGTACTGCTGGCTTCCCTTGAAAAGTTCGCCACGGGATCCAAGCAGGGGAAAGGCTCGGAGACCAAGGGGAGAAAGGCTGGGGGAGCGAGCGCCCAATCGGCCTGCACGTCTTCGTCCAAGCTCAGTTCGTCCTATGGAGTGTTCTAAGCTCAAGCAACACAACAGGGTTGGACCGACCCCCTGATTAAACATGTTAAACCACCATTGTTGAACCCGACACCTTTTGGTGTCCCTCTATAAAAGCGATAAGGGCCTGGTTGTTTAAACACATGTTGCCCAACCCTGCAAACCATCCGCTGCAACTGCTTGCGGTGAGAAGCGTCCTCGAGTCTGGGAATGTATCCAGCCCGCACATCGCGGATATGTAGCAATCCTTGATGCGGATTGAGCTTTGCTGGAAAAAACGGCCACATTGCAATGAAGGCAACTTGACCAAAACTAGGCACATGTTCAATGGCTGTCATGCAGCAAACTGGGCTGGTGAAATTGCTGAATAAGGATGTGCCAAGGCTAAATGGATCGGTGCAATAAAGGATCAAACTAAAGTGAGGGCGCGGGAAGCATGAACAGAATGGAATAGAATGGGATGGAGTGGAGTACAATGGTATTGAGTGGAGTGGAATGGGATGGACTGCACGGATGGCATTGATGGGAGACTGAGGGGACAGGATGGGAAGGGATATGATGAGAGGGGCTAGAATGGGAGGGGCTAGGATGGGGGGATGGGACGGGTGGACGTTCGCATGCATGCGCATGCACGCATGGATGGCTGGCTGCACCCATGGATGGAGGACGGATGGACAGACGGACGGAGGGATGGACGGGCGGAAGCGCGCATTGATTCCTTGGTTGATTCTTTGGCTGGATGTCTGGGTATGGAAATGGAGGTAAATCAGCGGGATGACGGGGCCGTAACCTGCATGCCAATAACTGACCAAGCGAGAACAAAAAAGCAGCCAAAATGTATGCCTTTTTGTATTGCCCTCTTTCGAAACAATCGTGGACGTGGACAAATCAAAGGGCTTCAGAAGGCAAAAATTCGCTAACCACGATTGTTGGAAGAAGGGAGCAAAAATACATCAACAAAACTCCAAACCAACATGAACATGCAGTTATTTTCTTCTTGCTCTAGGTAAAACAATGGTTTCTTCTTAGGTTAAAAAAAGGGGGCGATGAGCTGCGTTCTGACCCGCGGATCCTTCTGAGGTGCGCACCCCTGGCTTTGTCACCTTCGGGGGATGTGACTTCCAGGTAGGCGCCAAAGGGAAGGATTTGGCCCACTTTGCCTCAGCTCCCACTCCAAGCCTCCGCCGTCTGAACAAAAACCAGGTTTCTCTGGAAGTAACCCGCTGGGCTACACGTTGCAGACTACGCCTAAGCCCAACAATGGCTTTCCTTTGTGGGGAACCCAGTGCAACCAGTTAACACTATGATAGGTAACCCTTCGGGTCTCTTAGCTCGTTCTACATGATGGTTTCCCCTGGTTACCTACTTAGTGGGAACTGGAAGCACTGGGTTTCTGGTATCTGCGTCGATAGTGTTCCCCAACCAACCTTCATCTGCCAAGGTGGGTTTGTCTCCAAATGGACCCTCAACGGCTTCCCTTTTTGGTTTCCTCTAAAAGCCACTGAGGTGCGCTTTCCGCATCCCCGGAAAAGCAAAGCGTTTCTTGGTTTCCAATATTTCTGTGAGAAGGGAACCCTTTTACCCATGGCAACCCCGGAATTCATAAATTTAATAAACCCCTGTTTATTGGTGTGACACGGTGTGTCCCTGGTTTAGTGGGGATTTCTCACTAGAGCGTTGAACACCCCCCGATTAGGACGGGATGGTTGTTCTGTCAGCATCCAAGGCGCCAGTCAGCCACTGGTCCGGTGCGAGTTCGAAGCCTTTCAGGCCGTTCCTCACGAAGGAGGCAACAAAAGGATGCCGCCCACCAGCTTCCCCAAAAATCTGGGGACGGAGGGACGAGTCCCCTGGAACTTGTTGGTTCTCAGGCTGGAATGCAGAGAGTTCCCCCCATCCCTCCCAAATGAAACTCGTCAGTTAATTTTCGCCGAGTCGGTCCTTTTGGAGTGCAAACATTTGGGGACTTTTGGATTTCAAGGCAGCCAGGATCAGCCAACCATGACTGCTCGGTTCTTGGACACTTTGGACCTTCATGGGCTCGTTTTGTCCTTCCACTTCCCGAATCTCTCACTAACAAAAAAGGGTCCTCGAAAAAGCACACCTGCTCGATCCTAAAGAAGCAACTCTTTTCGGACCCTACGCATCTTGGTTTGAACAAGGCTTCTGGTGGGGTTTGGGCCAGGTCTGTTCTTTGAGTGCTCGGCCGCTTTAGCAAAGTCCCGATCTTATCCTCAACCAGCGCCTCATGCGCATGTTCCATGTGACATCAAGGCAAATCTGCTAGGTATGTCTCAAAAAGTTGCTCAAAGGAGTCGATCCCCGTACTGGTTGCTTTCTTTTGGGCTCCGTCACAAAGAAACACACATTTTTCCAGATTCAGTTTCATGAACATGTTCGGAGGAGACCAAGACGAGGCCCCAGTCAAGTCCATCCAACGGGTCATGTGTGAGACAGACATCCGTTCTCCGAGCTCACTGCAAGCGCTAGGATCTGCCGACCATCCTGGCATTGACACTCTCGGTGCCTGTCGGCCCCCCCCCTCGCTTCAAAACTGCGATACCCTCTACCGAAATCATGGCTGTGCAGGAACCCCTGCAAGAGGACAGCGAGCAATGCCCGAAAAATGGTTCTACCTGTTTATATTGGCCCCACGACGACCATTAAGACCAGGCAGTAGAACCACCTACTTCAAGTAGTCTTCCAAAGGAGGTCTGCGCATGCTCGGTCGCTTTTTGCATTGCCATATGCAGTTCGAATAGGCCCTCACCGTGTCTGGCCTTGTCAAGCTCCAACGCGCTTGAGGTTTACGGGGCACTTGTTGACCGGGTGGTAGCTTGTCAATGTTCTCATTAAATGCAATCAACAGCTATTAAAACACGACCCCTGGTCAACTGTGACCCGCCCCCCGTTGAATTTCCAGCATCTTCAGGTGTTCATATGCTAGATGCTCATGAGTACACGTTGATACCCAAGCTTCACTTCTTGTCGAAGCTCACGAACATCTTGGGGCGGCGGTTGGCGAGAAGAGAGCTGTCGAACTGGTCCAAGTGAGCCACGTCACCTTGGTGGGCATCGGGTCCGGACACCGTCTCCGCGGAGATGCTTGGGAAGAAGTGGTCGGCGTGAGCCGGAGCAACAGCATCAGGGAAGAAGCCCGTGAAGCTGGATGCATGGCTGCACGCATGTTGACCATCCGCAAGGCAAGTGGAGCTTCCGTCGTTGTGACCGGTGAGGTCCGCCAGAAGGTTGTTCAACGGACCCGCAGACACGAGGCTGCAGGCTTGCGCGGCGAGCAACACAAGAAGGGCCTTGCACGAGAAAGCCATGATGTGCTGCGGAAGTTTGCAAGAGGGGGCAACCGAACTGGCAGATTCGCACTGCGATTGAGCCAAGTCATTGCGTACATGGTGCAAATCCTCAGCAACTCCCACGTGCACAAACCTCATGCGGCCAAAAATGCCCGCGCAAGCACAACCATCTCCTTGGCCTCAGTGAGAATGGCACAGCCCCAAGCAAAACCAGAGGTGCCTTCTCCGTCACTGACTCCACAAAGGCCTCCACCTGGCCACATAAAGGGCTGGAGGCATCTGACAATTGAACTGCGGCAACTCTTTTCCCCACGTCCAGCTCATCCTTTTGGGTCGCATGCTATCGCATACTACTTGCCTTCGTTGCACTGCTTCACGGCAAATCGCACCCGTCGCACGCTTTCCGCGCGCCGCGCTTGGGCGTTCCACGCCCGAGGCTCTGCCACGGCGCGGTCGCGCAGAGTCAGAGCCCTGGACCGTCGCCGGCTGGGGCGCCGGTTGTCCTTAGACTGGATGCACGAACTTGCGAGAATGGATACCGCCGCCTGTGAAGAACGCTTGGAAATCCTTGTTCTGGAAATCAAGGCACGGATGCCCCCAATAAATCTTTAAACAAACACACAACATTGCCCCACTTGCCTAAGGCTTTAAGGCGCTGTGTCCTTTTTAATGGCACCCTTTTTGGCGTTCGTTTAAAAGGAGGCCAAAGGAAAACCAAGCATCTTGGGAGGTCCCCCATTTCAAGTCACCCACAAATGCAAAGAAAGGACTTTTTGGAGGCTCTGGGATTTTTGGCAGTTCCAAGCCACCCACTTGCTCGCGCTCCACCAGGTGTTTGTTCTTCTGTCAAAGCCCAGCTTCGCGCACCAGCCTATCAGCAGCGATCGAATGGCCGCTAGGACAAATCAGTTTTTGTTTCCTTTTCTTTTTTTGGGGGGGGATGTTGGCTAGGTCCTCCAGTAGAGAGGATAGAACAAGGGTACCCTTTTTGCTGTAGTCTATTTTAGTAGGGGAACCCTCCACCAAAAAAAGGGTACAGTAAAGGGCACTACTGGGGGACCTAGTTGGTATAGTGGAGGACGCCAAACGCCTTTTTTTTGGGGGAGGGGGTCTACATCCGCATTGGACACCTGACACTCGGAGGTGGCTTCCTGGCCGCCTGCCTCTTGCTCGGAACCTTGACCCCAAGCTCCCCTTCTCAGACTAGCATTCGGAACCTTCCCATGCGGTTTTCTGGAACCAAGTCTTGCCAAGGGGTTTCCCCTGGGAGCGTCAAGGTCACTCTGGAGGAGGGTGACTTACCATTTTCGTTCCATCAAGGTGGGCGCGTTGAGAGGCCCCAAATATCCACTCCACTCTACCGGCCGCAGCGTAGCCATCCATCGAACGACCAAATCTGTCTTCTTCCACCCATTTTCTGCGTGTTGCTCCAATACAGTAAGACCTCTCACAGCTGTTCCCCACCCAACCAACCCCTCGAACAGACACTAAATGCCTTTTGGGTCGATTTGGTCTTTTGCCCTTGTTACCTCGTAGATGTGGTGAAGGATCCTCATAAGATACCTTTTATTACTCAAACCACACATGCCAGCGGATTTTTTCCGTCTTGGTTTCCCTTCAAAACCGCAAAGACCTTTGGAATCCCGTTCCCCCCAAACAAAAGAAGAAGAAAGAAAGACACAAACGGGGGGGGGGGGGGGGAAAACAATTAAAAACAAACAATCAAACAACAACAAGTCACACCCAAACATGGTGAACGCATTTCCGCTCAGATCCCGGGAAAAATCAAAAAACAAAACTGGCTCGGCCAAGGCGAGGAGCCAAAGCGCAACCCTTCCTGGCCTGGGCATCAATTGGCCGCAATGCGGCATGGGAGCCAAGACCTGGGCAGCTCTCAACTTAGGCTCCGTGCCAGGGGTGCCTTCCAAATTCGTTCCAGGGATCCTTCTTTCTAGACAACCTCCGGACACCCGGGGAAAACGGGCTTTTTGTTGAAAAGAAGGATGGTTGAAAAGAATGGTTGGAATCAACCCCTAGAAATGATGCACTGAACCACTGGGGAACCCAACAAATATAATCCCCTGCAAATTGCGGCAAGGAACCCAAAAGGGAGATCCAACCCAAAAGGAGTTCGGTGGCTACAAGTTGTGGCTTCCATGGTAATGTGCGGGGAGCAATTCACCCACCAAACAGAAGGGATCCCTACGACACCCTTCATGGAGTGACGTCGTTCTCATTTGCCGAGACTGTTTTACAACCCTCCCTTCCATGTTGCCACACCTGACAGGGTGTCCCTTGAGAAAATTGATCCAGGAGGAAGGGTACCTCTTTTCAAACAAATCTTGCCAAATGTTACCCGCCCATGCCATGGAACCTGATCGGGGTGTCAAGACCCTCTTTCTCCAGGGACCTTTGGTGGGTTCCATGTTTCTTGGTGGAGGCTACATCCAACCTAGACAAATCACGTTTGGGGGGAACAAGCACCAAAACAACGCGTGGATGTCTGCTTTGGGGGGGGGGGGTGGTCCTTCATGAATCTCAGATGAACACTTAGTTTTGTTTTCCTGTTTTCCCCTTTCTGCAGCCAGCATCAAGCTCTGCTTTTGCCCCAACTAAAACTGACATTGTGTGATTCTTCATCTTCACCATGGAATGTAGGATGATGTCAAGAACCTCTCCCAGTCAACATGAAATCGATTATCTTTGTTCTCCCTTGAACAGATTTGCTTCCTGGATAACTTGATCATGCGCTGCATCGTTTTAACGCATAGAGTCCAAAACCCACAGCCCCCATTTTCGGCCGGGGCCCTCTCAAGCAGTTTCTGCCTGGAGTCTCCATGACCCTTTAAACATGGGTCAATGACCCCAGAATTTCGGGTAATGAGCCCAGAATTTCGGGTCATGGAGACTCCAGGTGCTTGAAATGGTTCGCTTCCTGCTGATTTCCTTTTGTCGTGGCCCCCTAAAAGGAGCGGCTCTCGAGCTGACGCCTTCCGGGCCCAGATGAGGCGCTTCAAAGCTGCCGTGGCAGAACTCTCGGAAGCGCTGCCCGGAGTCTTGCGAAAGGCCCTGGTGCCAAGTCGAAGGAAATATGAGCAGGCAGGTATTTACATAGATAGGTGTGACATGTTGCTTGTGTTATATCTATATAACTACACATGTATGATGTGTATGTATATACGGTCATTATATACGTAGCATGCTTCGGATAGCTGGGCGTGTCTGTCGGTGAAATCTCTCTCTCTGGTTGGGTTTAGAGTTGCACACCTGAAAGAAGCCAATCATTTTGGGAGGTTCCCTCATTTTGAGAACACCCCGGCTCAGCTCATGGGTTGCTGCAACCTCAAGCTTTTGGTCTAGCCTCTCAGGTCGAAAGCCGGGCAGCCCCGAAACCGCCTTTCCGAGGGACAAAGTTCGCTGGGGACTTTCAAGGAAACTCTCAGGCCGCAAGGCGAGCTGCACTGGCGCCATAGAACATGGACGTGATAGACAATATCATATTTGGGGGGGGACGGTTTATTATTACGGGGACCGGATTAGTGGGGGACCGGATTAGTGGAATTACCTAAATTTAAAATGGCCACCCCCCAAACTTTGGTGGGAAATCTAGTGACGTCCCTGGTGGATGAACAAGTTCACTGAACCTCACATGAGCAGCGCCAAGATCTATTGACTTTTGGTTCTACCCACATTGTTGTAACAGTTTGTAGGCTCACAAACCTCATGAAGCCAGGCAGGAACCGAACCATCTACTGACAGGGCGAATGGGAATCGGTCTTGAACCCCCTCAAATGGTGAGGGTGTCTTGTTGGCTTCCCTTTTAAACCAGCCCCGAACACGGGTGCTGACGTGGAAGTTGCTCACATGGAACGCCGCGCCAGCCGACGCGCCACTCGCCACTCGCCCGTCCTCGCGCAGGAGGTCGCAGAGAAAGCCGCGGAGCGGGCGCCCGGCTTCTCCGACGGTGGGGGTTTGACCCGACTGGCCGCGCGAGGTACGCATCCGGGTTTGACCGAATCAGAACGCTGGGCTGCCCTCAGATCCCTCGCCAAAAGTGACTAACTTTTAGTGGGCTAAATGGAAACTGCCACTAAACACTAAAAGGCTAAAAGGCTAAGGAACCGGATGGCTGGGAGCCACCAAGAACGGAATCATCAAATGATTGGTGATTGTGTTGGCTTTCGATTGAAGTATCCAGGGGCCATACTTTGTGGCTGGTTTCTATCTGGGAGGCCCTGATTTCATGATGTGTGGACATATCAATTTGTCATAAAGCTTAGGTGTGTGTGTGTGTGTGCGTGTGTGACACCAAAGTCCAACGGGAAAGATATTGAAAACAACCTCCAAAAAAAAGTTCCCCTCGCAACAAGACACTCCAAATCTACAAAACGGCAAATAGTTGTCCTTTTGATTTCCCGTCAGAACAACCACCAAAATGGGCTTCCACTGCGAAAAAAAGCAACCTGTGAGCAACAAACACATTACCTCGCCTGCATCAAGTGTTGAATCAACCAAGCCCTGGTTCATTTGCAGGGAAACCAGCAGGAGGTTGCTTGAACGAGGAAGGTTCCTCCGCATTCTTGGCCCAGTTGAATCGCCCAACCCTGCAGAGAGGCTTGGACAACCATTGCTCAAACATCCTCCTTTTGGTTCGGAGTCAGGCTCCGGTTTAAACGAGTCTTGTACCCGAATCCGACGAGAACCGCCCGTTTCACCAGCGCGTGCCATCGCCTGGAGTTGTTGGAAGAGGCTCTGGGAGTTGGTCCAAACCAACTGCTCCATCTCCTCACATTTGCTTCTTCGCCCCCTGTGTTTCTTTCTTTCCTTTGTTTTTTACAACAACTAGTAATGATGGATTCCTTTCAACACCAACAGGGGAATACTAAAAAACAAACAAACACTCTTAAGCAAAGGGTAGTCTCCATCTGCGGCGCCACACTTCCATTCGCCACGGCCATGGCGGCCATGGCAGTGGCGGCCAAAGCCTTGCGCCGGAGGAAAACTTTTGGAGCCGATTCAAACATTTTTTGCACCAGATGCGGTTCTCTAGGCATCTTCCAGTTAGGATGTGGTTCCTTTGGCTTTTTCACGTTGGGATACAGTTCCTGAGACGGTTTCACGTTGAGATATGGTTCAATATAATAGACTTTGTCACGTTGAGTGTAGAGGGATGTACTTTTGAGTTCCGGACACAATTTCATGCCGCGCACTTTGACAGGGGAACCTTTTTGGGTTTGCCTTGGACTTGACTCA